ACTGGCGGGAGGCCATGGTACTACGCTGCCCAAGGAGACGCCAGAAACGGGGCGCCCCGCCTGCGCGCCGCGACATGCTCCCCCGGCCCGGCCAGCGCGGAGGGCGCGCGCGCGCGCGGGCGCCCGCGCGCGAGCCGTCCGCTCGCTGGGGCGAGCGCGAGCGCGAGCGGCAGGGCACCGGACGACGCCGGCGAGACCGCCGTCATCGTCGCAGTCGTCGTCGTCGTCGGTGTTGTCGTCGGCGTCGTCGTCGTCGCCCTCGTCGCAGCGTCGACGCCGCCGGACCCTCATCGTCGAATCGGCATCGAATCGTCGTCGTCGTCGTCGCCACATCGTCGTCGTCGAATCGTCCTCGTCGAACCGTCGTCGAGTCGTCGAATCGTCGTGAAATCGTTCGTCGTCGTCGTAGCCGTCCGTCGAACCTCGACCCTCGCGGATCATGGGTCGAAGTACACGGATCGAAGCTCTTAGAGGTTCGTGGCCCTCTTTGGGTCTCCAGGCGACTGCGTTCGATCCGCCCGCTCACAAAGGCGAGCGTTCACCAGGCGACGCCGTCGTGACCGCCGTCGTCGTCGTCGTTATCGAAGCGTCGTCGAATCGTCGTCATCAAATCGTCGTCGTCGAATCGTCGTTTTCGAATCATCGTCGAAGCGTCGTCGCCAAATCGTTGTCATCGAATCCTCGTCGAATCGTTGTCGTCGAATCGTTGTCGTCGAATCGTCGAATCGTCGTCGAATCGTCGTCGTCGTCGCCGTCACCGTCGTCGTCATTGTCGTCATCCTCCTCCTCCTCCTCCTCCTCCTCCTCCTCCTCGTCAGCGTCCACGTCATTATGCTCGACCTCGGCCTCGTCGTCGTTCTCGCCCCCGTCCTCGTCCTCGTCGTCGTCGTTGTGGTCGTCGTCGACGGACCGTCGTCCGTCGTCCGTCGTCCGCCGTGCGTTGAACCTCGACCCTCGCGGATCATGGGTCGAAATTCGAGGATCGAGGCTCTTGCACGTTCGTGGCCCCCTTTGGGTCTCCGAGTGCCTCGGGTCGCCTCCTCCGCGGGCGTCCCAAGGCCTGCGGAGACCTCTGGGGAGATCTCGAGACCTCCCCCAGAGGAGAGGGGAGACAAAGCGGCGGGGAGAGGGGGCGAGAGGGGACGAGAGGGAAAGGGAGAGAGCACCGACGAGGGCGGGCCAGTCCGTCCGAGCACGCGCGGTGAAACCTCTCCAAGAAGGCCTGGAAAGACGGCCAAGATGGGCCAAGATGGCCTCCAAGGTGCCTCCGAGACGGCCAAGGTGGCCCCAAGAGAGCCCAAGTTAGCGCCAAGATGGCCACCAAGACTGTCCCAAGATGCCTGCAAGGCCGCCAAGATGGTCCAAGAGAGCCCATGACGGCCCAAGAAGCTCCAAAGACGCCTCTAAGACGGCCCAAGAGGCCTCCTGGAGGTCCTCCAGGGAAGCCCGAAGAGGCCAAAATCATCGATCTGACTTAGGTTTTCGAAGGGTTCCGACATGTGCTTCTTTCCTGCCGTCCGACGGCCCTAAACGGCCCAAGGAGTCCTCAAGATCGCCCAAAGATCGCCCAAGAGGCCGCCAAGATCGCCCAAATATCGCCAAGGAGGCCGCCAAGACGGCCCCCAAAAGGGCCCCAAGACGGCCCAAGAGGCATCCAAGACGCCAAAGGTGGCCTCCAAGACGACCCTGAAGCGCACCAAGGGGACCCCAAGACGGCCCAGAGAGGCTTCCAAAATGGCTTCCGGCGGCGTCAGACAGGCCAGGAACGCCGTAAGACAGCCAAAGAGGCCGCCAAGAAGACTCCAAAGGCCCCCAAGATGCCCAAGGAGGCCCCCGAGAGGCCTCCAAGAGGCCCCCAGGAAGCTCCCAAGAGGCTCCCGATAAATGAGGTTCCTCATCCTTCTCCTTCTCCTCCTCCTCCTCCTCCTCCTCCTCCTCCTCCTCCTCCTCCTGCTCCTTTTTCCTCCCTCTCCTCATCCTCCTCTTCCTCCCCCACGGGTTTCCTGAAGGGTTTCCACAACGGCTGGAGGAACGCATGGTCCAGTAGAGTGGCCAAACGTTGTACAAACGCTTGGCCACATAGGCGTATCCTAAAAGGCAGGGGGCGGCGGTGATTCGCAATAGGCGTCTTCGATCCCCCAAAGGCCTCAAAGGCTCCTAAACGGGCCCCAGGAGACCTCCAAGATGAATCCAAGCGGCCTCCAAGAGGCTCCCAGATAACTTCTTTCGCATTTTATCACTTGACTGCTAGGGATACGGGGAGCGAGAGCAACTACATTCACCCGTCCTGCGCTCGGGGGTCGGCGGAATGGCGTAAGCCTCTCGAGCACTAGTCGATACAGTAGGAGTTTGACCACAAGAAACCTTCCACAAGATACCCAACCCTGAGACCCCAGGACGTCCATTGCTTTTTGGTGGGAACGTCACGCCTTCACAGCAAGGCCAGCGAAACCCAAGAAGCCCAGGGCACCCTGGAGGGAAGCAGGGTGTCTCTTGGCATGGGTTTCCACTGAAGACGCCATCGCACCAGCGCAGCAGCCAGTTGTGGCGAGACCGGCTGCAGTGGCAGTCAGGCGGCGCGGCCGTGGAGAAGTGGGAGGGGGCAGGCCTTCTCAGAAGGCTCGGAAATTCCCTGGCCTGGAGGAGGAGGAGGAGGAGGAGGAGGAGGAGGAGGAGGAAGAGGAGGAGGAGGAGAGGAGGAGGAGGAGGAGGAGGAGTCTTCTAAGCCTTCCCTGGAGGCACAGAAAAGGCCCCCCGGCAGGCCGGAGGGCTCTCCCGGGAAGTCCCGCCGCCTTCTGAGAAGGCCTTCTCCTTCGCACTTCCCCCCCCCCTGGCTCGCCGCCGACTTTGGTCTCTGGGTCACATCTCGGGCCTCCAGCGGCCGCTTGGGACGATCCAGGCACTCCTGGAGCGCCCTCGGCGAGGCGCAGCTGCAGGCAAGCATCCCGAGGCCCGAGAAGCCGCCGAGCACCGACGAGAACGTCAGAAACTTGTTTGATCTGCGGGGCGAGAGCGAACCTCTTCCGCTGGAAGCCAAGCGGGCCGCGCACAGCTTTAATTCACAAGAGGAGGGGGGCAGGAGGAGGGGCCTCACGTCAAAAAACGTCAGAAACGCCTCGAGCCTCGAGCCCGAAACTTCCCCCCCTCGCCCGCCGCCGAGCAGTGGCTCGGCAAGGCCACGGGCGGGAGAGGGCGAGGGGGCGCGGGCAGGGGGGGGCGAGGAGGGCACGGCAGGGGGAAGGTCGCGAGTGGAGGCGAGGCGTCCAGGCCTCCGGCGCCGTGGTGCTGCTCTCGACGACGGCGTGGGCTTGCCGTCGCTCGGACGTCCATTTCCCGTGCATTTGTCGGTTTCGTGCGTGGTTCTTTCGCGAAATGATCAAGGATGGTCCCCGATGGATCTCGCCGAGAAAACATGCACACGTCCGAGCGATGCCAAGTGGGCATGCGGAGCTCTGGGCCGCGACCCCTTGCTCCATGCTGCTCCCATCGTGCTCGAGGGCCACGACCTCGAAAGGATCTCGAGCACCCAGAAGAGCATCGCAACGGGGTCGAACGAGTATCGCCTCCCTGGGCCCGACACGTGCAAGCCCTCCCGTTTCGGCACTTCCTGGGTGCCCAAGAGTCTTTCTGGCGAACAAGGCCAAAGTAGGTTGGAACATCATAACCCTTGGTGAGCGTCTGCTTATTCGGCGCTTCGACGTTGAGCGAAAAGGTTGGGTCGGACATGTCCTCCTACAGGCGCTTTTCGAAGAAAATCTAAAATATACACAACATACATATTCATAGATTTTATGCAAAAAATGAGTCGGAGAATCGTCCCGTGACTGTTTTTTTACATTATGTTTGAACATTCCTCCTGTAGAGAGACATGCCCGACTTAAAACGAAAACGGGGGGGAGGGGGGGGCCTGGCTCTGGACCTCTGCTCAGTGCGACTGTTTGGAAGGGTGCTCCCATGGGGAATCCTATGGGGAGGCGGGGACACGGTGCTTGCTCCGCCTGCTTGAAACAGGCGCCACAAACAGCCAAGATCTACTCCATTGGGGGAGGGAGGGGGGTGTACGAGGGCCCGCGCCGATCGGCAAAACCATGAATAAGAAAACGATCACTTTCTCGTCGCGGGTCATATTGTTTGATGGCTCCAGGGCACGAAACGGGCCCAAACGTCGGAAGAACTGCCCGCCAGGAAGGTCTGGGAAGTCGAAGAACCGAACGGCATCAACAAAAGCTTTCGGAGGTCCGCGATGCCTTCTTGGATCGAAGCTGGGCCCTCCAGGCGGCGCCTACGACGCCGCCCCCAGCGCGCTCCCGACGCCAGGGAGGGGGGTCCAGCGCCGATCCGAAAAATCCGCGAGGACCTCCGACAGGTTGTGTTCATGCAGTTCTTCTTCCTCGAGGCACACGGGTCGCCGCTGGCTTGTGGACCGTGCCGGCTCGAGCCGCGGCTGCCGCGCACCCCTCGGGGCACCCGTCTTCTGGCGGCACGCGCCTGCGGGCCGCTTTCCGCTCAGGCGATCTGCAGCCCGAGCTTCTTGGCCTGCTCCATCTGAATGGCCTTCTCGCGACGCTGGAAGCCGGGCTTTGTCTCGGCAGCCTCCCTGAGATCTGGGCTCTACCTCGGCCGCTTCCCTGGGATCCCTGAGATCCTGAGGTCCACAGCGGGCGGTTTCGCTGGGTCCCAGGCCGCGGGCCCTCTCACAGATCGGCGCGGCCCTAAAAACGCCGCAGGAATACGGTGGGTCTAGGGCTCTGGTCTCGACGCTTCGCGGTGTTGCAACTTGCTCGAGACGTCGGATCTCAGGGTTTGCTCTACCTACTCGTCCACGGTGCCGAAGCCACCCCTGGCGAATGCTTGGCACCAAGCAGTGGCCATCTGACCGTCTTCCCCTCCTCCTCACGATGGGCCGACTTTTCCGCCACCACTACCATAGGTAGGAGAGGGAGGAGGAGGAGGAGGAGGAGGAGGAGGACATCCCCATCCTCCCTTCTACCCCGTCCTACCCATGATAGCGGTGGTGGACAATTGGCCCATGATCTCGTGCTCCTTCTCCCCCCCTCTTCCTCTCCCCCTCATCTGCCCCCCAGACCGCACCGCAGGGCCCCGGGTGCAGTGCCCTCGGGTCGCTCCGAGCCCTCGGCACCTCGTGCTGCCCGCCGGCCCCTGCTCGCCAGGGCTGAGGAGGCGCGTGAGATCATGGGCTGCCCCTCCCCAGGGGAGAAAACTGCGGCAGCGTGAAACATCACGACCGGAGCCCCGGACCCCATCTTCCTGCGGCACGTTTCGAGCCCGATCGATCTGCGAGGGTCCTGGGGCCCGATACCGAGCGAAAACGCCCGTCGTGAAAGGGAGGAGGAAGAGGAGGAGAAGGAGGAGGAGGAGGAGGACGAGGAGCAGGAGGAGGAGGAGGAGGAGGAGGAGGAGGAGGAGGAGGAGGAGGAGGAGGAGGAGGGGGGTCCGAACTCCCGGGCGCCTCGCCTCGGCTGGCCGGGCCTCCTCAAAGCCCGCCCAGACCGCCGACGCCAAGAAGATGCCCGGGGAGGCAGCCCAGAGCGGCGGCAGGAGGAGCTCTTGCACGGCCCCGGGGCCCCGAGGACGGCTCGAAGAGGCCGCGGAGCCTCCCACGACGACCCCCCTGAGAGGCCAAAGGCATGCAGAGAACAGCTGTTATGCGATAACGCTTGCCTTTCTCGATGCTTCGCACCCGACGGCAGTCTGAGGCCTCACGGTGGCTCTAAGATCGCCCAAGAGAGCCCCAAGAGGGGCCAGGAGCGCACCAAGACGGCCCCGAGAGGGGCCAGGAGCGCACCAAGACAGCCCCGAAGGCTCCCGGGAGTCGCACCAGCGTCGCAACAGGGCCCAGGAAACGATGTTCGGCCTCCAAGCGAGGGGCCCTACGACAGGACCCCCCCTTTTCGAATTGGTAACGAACAGGACGGCTACAAGAGGGCCCACACAGCTCCAAAGAGGGTCCAAAAAAAGCCGCCCGGGAGAGCTTCGAAGGATCCCACACGGGCCCCGAGAGACCCGAAAGATGACCGAAAAAGGCTCCCAGAGGTCTGCAAGTTCAGCATTGTTGCCCTTTCTGTTTCAGTGTGTGCTTATCGACTTCCTCTCTCCCCACTGTTCACCGTGGCATCCTTTTTGGATGGGCTGCTGAGGATGCGGGGCGCGGCAAGAACTGCACTTGCCCATCCACCCGTTGCGGGTCGGCGGAATGGCGCAAGCTTCTTGAATCCGCCCGCCCACCGGGCTGAGGGACGTGGGAGGTTGAACTGTGCGAGCCCATTACACTTCAGTCGGGCGTCCCCCTGCAGGGGGAGTTGGGCGAAAAATGAAAAATACTCTAAACATACCCCCCAAATAAGCAAAAAACAAAAAAACAAATCGTCCCAAAACTATTATGATACTACCCTTGAATATTCCTCCTGTAGATCGGGAGCGGCCAAGAGGGGGGGGGGTGCAAATCATGACCGGCGGCATGTGCGCGGCCCGGGGGGGGGGGCCAGGGACGCAATGAAATAAGGACAGGCGCCACGAAATCTGGGGAAATATCATGGCCCCCGCCATGATATCCCCCCCCCCTAGACATCACCCCGCTCTTTGCCGCCCCCGAGCAGAGGGACGGGCCCGACTTAGCATGACATGCCTCTAGCCCCCCCCCCTCTCCCGCCCCCGAGGCCTCCGCCCCTCCGCCGACCGGCTGCATCCCGCACCCGCTTCGGTCCCCCGGGGACGGCTTCCAAGCAGCGCCCAAGACAGGCCCGCAGGTCAGACCGCTCCCAACACGCGTTTGACCACCTACCAGACCACCCCAACCCAACCCGAAGACCCGCATTTCGGGTCGGGGGGGTTATGGGCTCCACACGTATTTTGTTCGAGGTTCCCCACCCACCCCCCACCACTGGAAATGGAGGGCAGATTGAGGCTTTCGGGTTGGGCTGGGGTGGTCTTGCGGGTGGTGAGCTTCCGGGCAGCACTTCGGCTCCACCTTGGCACCGCAGGGGTCCGCTCTCGGCACCCGAGGCCGTCGCCCGGGACCCTCCGGAGCGCCTCTTGGGCCCGGCAGTCTGGCGGTGTCAGAGTGTCGCACACCCCATAGTTGTGCACGGTTTTAGCCTCGCCAGCGGGGGTCGCCCAGACGCCTACTCCAGCTCTCTTTCGGGCTCACCTGGAGCTGTGTTCAGCATGCAGTTTCGACGCCGTTTCCGGACGAGCTTCAAGACCGATGTTGGCCAATTCTGGACCCGAAACGAAGCCCAAACTGGTCCCGCCCAGGGCTGCGGCCCAACGCGGGAGTGCTCGCGCTGGGGCCGTCCAGAAGCCAGCCTGGGCCGCCTTGTCGAGGCCCTCTTCGGCCCTTGTTGGCGACTTGTGGGCCGTCTTTGAGCCGTGTTGGGTCACTTTTGGACGGTGTTCTGCCTGTCTCTGGCTTCCAGCTGTGGATTCGGATGATGACGGGCCGACGAAGCAACAACTTTATCATCGATCAGCCACACAGCATTCCTGAGCCCAATCGGCGATGGGACGGAATCCACACCTGCGGGGCCGTCTTTGACTAGTTTCAACATGTGCTCATCCCATCTTGGAGCCGTCTTCGCCTCTGCAGGCGAGAACTGGAATGGGCGGAAGGTGTTAACGCGAAGCGACCTGCGCAAATGCCGCTAGAAGCCCAGGGGCCCTGGATTCCCAGGACCCTTGGGCGCGCTGAGGCGCTCCCGAAGCTGCCCACGTGACCTCTCCAGAGGCCCGCAGTGCCCCCAGACGATCTCCAGAGACCTTCCTCGGGTTCTCTGGGGGACGCCTTGCGGAGGGGCGTTAGTCGAAAACAAGCTGGTAAGCTTAGGTATGTGTTACGCTTTAAGCGTTGTCATATCCCAGGCTTTGGCTCATATCGCATGAGCAAGAGAGCAAGTCGAAGCATGGGATCTGGAGTAAAGGATAGGATGGGCATCGTCAATGGAAAAGGTATTTTCCGATCTCTGATGCAAGTCGTGCGCCTCGGTGAGGCACAATCACATATTTGGCCGGGCCCGGCTTGAGCCAGGCACGGCAGCGGTACATGCTCGATTTATACCTCGCCTTTAACCTTCTCCGTTTAAAGTCGGAGGGGGAGGAGACGAGCAGGTACCGCACTTCTACATTATGCGGAAAAACAGTGCTAAGCAGCAGCGGCTGCCTACAAGGAAAGGGCGCGCGAGTAGCCTCGCTACCGGCGAGTTTCCTCGCTACTAGAGCGCACCTGCCTGCGGGTTTCCCCGCTGGCTCGGGAGGCAGGGCCGTCCTGAGACGACCTGCCCGCCCTATACGGTGTATGTTTCTTCAGCTCGTGCTTGAAGGATTGCTGGCCGGCCATTACTTGTAGGAGCAACGCGCGGTCAATACTACCTTTGGTATGACCATCGGCAGTCATATCCCGCGTGTCACACCATTGGACGCTTTCCACGATTCCGCGTTCCATCATCTGGCGGATCCAGCTGATGTGCCCAAGCAGAGTACATTCTGTGGGCTTCTTCAGATCTTTGCTAGACAAAGACTTGAAGACAGACTCGGCATCAATAGTCAGAGTGACTTTGATACATAGACCACCCATTTCCAATATGTTCTTTAACTGTGTGGGGGTCAATGGTCCCGAGTGTAGCTCGTGGAGCGTTACAATGGTCGGGTAGCAGTCTTCCAAGTTGTGGGCTGCTGCCAGTGTTTCCGCAGAGTAGCTCGAACGCACCTGCAGTCGATGAGACTTGCAGTATGCGTCCACCAGGTGCACGACGGGTTTCCCCGCTTGCGTGTGGCCACGCCTCAGCAGGTTAGCCCCGCGGATACCATAGCCTTTGACTTCGTCGTCTTCATCTCCGTTGAGACGACGATAGCCAGAATCGCTATGCAGGTCGACTTCTCCTGTTGGGGTCATAGCTTGATACACGATCTTCTTCGGACCTGCCTGTAGTTTCCTGGTAACCGCGTTTAGTCGTCGTACCTGGATGTTTGTCGGTTCCTGGATACGTTGTAGTGAGACAACATAGACCATCAGCCATACCTGCGTGATCAACGCATAGGCTAGAGCGCCACGAAGACTGACGAACATATCAGAAATCGTCTTTGTCGCTTTGCTCTCAGGATCAGCTCCTGTGAGTTCTGGATGTGTGATAGGACGAAGCTGTTTGATGTATTCGTCCTGATCGAGAGTGACGCTCCCATCATCGGTCTTGTTGTACCGAACGGCACAGTTTGTGTATGTGTGCTTGTTCAGTTTGCACTTCCCAAACGTATCTTCAACACACTTGACATACTTGTCAATAGCCTCTTCCTTCCCAGTCATATTGATGTCATCAACGTGCTTGGCTGTCAAGAGGTTTGGGCTCATCTCGAACTCTTCGTCGTATGAAGTAGGCTGTAGCCCAAAGCTCCTAGTGATGGACCTGAGCTTCAGCGAGAATGCCCTGGGAGCATCCTTCGTGCCCGTCCCCGGTTTCAGACACCGGAGACAATGCTTTGATTCGTCATATGACTCAAAGCCTGGCAGTGTGCGAAGGACAGCTGCTGACCCAGGTGGTAGTGTGAAGCACACC